ACAAACACACTCTTTTGCCGTCCACATATGAATAAGTCTAGCAACAATATGGGTATCCACAATTGATCCATCCAGCTGACGAACGACCAACGAAGTCATGACAAGATCTACAAAAATACAACATCATTATATTGTGGTTGAACAAAACAGCAACATGCGCCACAATCAAAGGTAGTATAATAAGAAATTTACCTTGCATCGAAGTTGGCAAAAGATAATCCATCGACATGGCAATAAACAATATACCAGGATACAAAGTAAAAAATCAACGGACGTTTAAAGAGAAAGGAGATGTGGTATGGCAATAAAGGACGATAGCTAAGAAGGGAGGACAGTGGTGGTATGAGTTGCCTAGAGAAGCTGAGAAAGAAAAGGGCAGCAGAGGGTTTGTTTGGGTAGAAAAAGGCAAAAGCATTTGGGAAAAATATGACGTATTAGGGTGGGGTCATAAATAGAATAGTATATTTACTGTTGCAGTCATAATATATTTGATTGATATGGAGAATAGTTAAGGAGTATCCATAATTATTAAATAAATAATTAATAATTATGATTTTGCATATTATATCTTACGATTTGGTCGTTAATTTTTTTTTATATAATTTAACTTAGCATTTGATTTTTAACGATACGAAAGGGTTGAACCACATATAAATCATATTTTCATCATAAAATATCAAGTCTTGACTTTACTTGTACACCTTTCAATATAATTTTACAATCTTTGATTTTTTTATGCTCATCGCAATTAAAATTTCATCGCATTTAAAACTTGATTTCATATGTTCAAAATTCCATTGAACTTCATGAGCAAGGATTACTTGACAGCCAAATCCTCAACTGCTAATATTTGATTTACATCTTGCAACGGATTGATTTAATTTAGTGATCTCCAACTCAATTGATTATTCTTACACCGCTTATCATGTCAATTAGACGTATCAAATCTAAAAGCAAAGAAATTATATGGCAAAACTATCCAGTTGTTTATAACAACCTTACATTTCATATAGCTAACCCGAGAAATGCGCGAAGAACCGACCATAAAGGGAAGTGAACGTCGACTCCAAACCCTTACACCGGTATATTGAAAACATAACACCATTCACGCAAAATCGAGGTATTGAAGTAAAATATCATAAAACGTATAATTAAAACATACAAAAAACAAATGTACAAATTCTTCCATGCATAAACTGTCATTGAGAACTATTTGCTTTATAATAATAACAATATTTAAAAAACGTAAAACACACTGTATATAAATAGTAAGTTGGATTTATCATTGCCCATAATAAATGAGTGTCAAGTTTGAAAATGACGCCTGTTTTGTCTTAGTATAAGCAGTACTGCAACCGACAACGTAATAATTGAACACCGATGTTAACTTCCTGAAATAGTCAAATTTATTTCCTATCTCTTCTCTTTCGGCTCTATCCATTTCTCTTCACCATTTAATGGACCAACATTTGCCTTCAACTTGATGTGCACCTGTACCCTAAGATGAAGTTTGAAAATTCAAGCAGGAAGAATATGCAATGCACAGTTTCATATATTAATGGGTCCGTCTGATAAAGACCTCTTGACCATTTTGATTTGTAGCCATTAATTACTCGGTAGTTGTTTCCTTGTCCGTCTACAGATTAAAGACTGTTCATCCACTTGCAGCCATAGATATATAGGTGAAAAATACTAACAATCTGGTGACATTTGTTTATTATAGTAACAAAAATTAACAACCACAGTTTAGAGTTTAGGTTATGTCGATTTCTTCTACATAGTCGCTTATGCTTTCTTTTACTAACTATTATTTGACGGATGAAACCTGACATGCATTTCCTGTCTTGAATTTCCTGTAACCAAATCGGTACAGTTATCACTTTATTCTTGTTGGATTTGAACCGTTCTTTTTGTACAGTTCACGATATAATTTTGAAAAAAATAATTGTGTACAGTAACCTTGTACATGGGCCAGATAAAAGAAATTACTAATACTAATTCATTTTGAATACAAAAGTTATCTGTTGTAATTGCTAAGCGTTTTACTCTCAAGATCATGAGATCAAATTTATATAAATCTTAATACATACATACATATATCATTACACCCACATATTTAAATGACTTATTTTGTTTTACTATGTACGACTCACGAGCTTCCCATAGAATCCTTCATAAAATAATACTCAAAGTTTTAAAATGAATAATTGCTAATTCATCTCTTATTTTTCAACATCTACACGTGCATGAAGACAAGGTTGGACCAATAATGTTCCATACACAATTGGGGTTCTTATTTTATTTGTTTGTATGCATATCCCAATAAAAAAAAAATTACAGCAAAGAATATAGTATTGTTAGATAGTTACATGCACACTATTGTTTAGCCGCTTTTTGCTTGGTCTGAATTGTGACGGGTGATGATTACAACAGATATAGAGGACTCATATTTTGTGTCCATCAATAAAACACTAAAACTAAAAACATGCAATTTAATGAAAATATGAAAAACTAACAGCCACAGTGTGCCATTCATTTATGTCATCTATTTAAGACAATGGCTAGACATATGAAGAACCACGATTCCAATGAAACAAAAAAGCAAAGGATGAACGAAAGCGGCTCTTCAGAGAGAAAATGGGAGGACATGGATTCAGATATATTAGTGAAGACATTCAACACTCTCGACACACTTGAGTTGACGTCAGGGATTGGTCAAGTTTGTAGTTCATGGCGCATGGCATGTGCTAGTCCTCTTCTATGGAGAACATTGCCCGTATATTGAAAACATAAACATAACACCATTCACGCAAAATCAAGGTATTGAAGTAAAATATCATAAAATGTACAATTAAAACATACAAAAAAACAAATATACAAATTCTTCCATGCATAAACTGTCATTGAGAACTATTTGCTTTATAATAACAACTGTATTTGAGAAACGTACAACACATTGTATATAAATAGTAAGTTGGACTTATCATCGTGCATAATAAATGAGTTTCAAGCTTGAAAATGATGCCTGTTTTGTCTTATTATAAGCAGTACTGCAACTGACAACATAATAATTGAACACCGACGTTAACTTCCCGAAATAGCCAAATTATTTCATATCTCTTCTCTTTCGGGCCTGTCCATTTCTCTTCACTATTTAATGGGCCAATATTTGCCTTCAACTTGATGTACGCCTGTACCAAAGGCCCTAGTTTGAAAATTCAAGCAGAAAGAATATGCGATGTATGGTTTCACATTTTGATGGGTCCGACTGATCAAGACCTTTTGACCATTTTGATTTGTAGCATTAATTAATGGTTAGTTGTTGCCCTGTCCGTCTACAGATTAAAGACTGTCCATCCACTTGCAGCCATAGATATATAGGTGAAAAATACTAACATTCTGATGGCTTTTGTTTCTTATAGTAACAAAAAAGTAACAACCATAGTTTAGAGTTTAGGTTACGTCAATTCAACAACATACACCAACCATAGGGGCCCGAGCATAGTATATGTCTTTTTCGCATTGAGTACAAGCAGATAAAACAAAAAAGAGCTCACCTAGACGAGATCAAAAGCCTCCTACAATGCATGTACGGGAAAACAATAGTGCACACTGACTATAGGAACCTAATAATAGTGTACGTCCATTTCATATATAATACAAGAAGATAAAATAGAGAAGAAGACCCAAGCATAGTGTACGTCCCTTTCATATTGAATTCAAGCAGACAAAATAGAGAATAACTCACCTAGTACCCCAAGGCCCAAGTTCGAGAATTCAAGCAGAAAGAAGATGTGATGCATGGTTTCACATTTCGATGGGTCTGACCGATCAAGACTTTTTGACCATTTTGGTCTGTAACCATTGATTTACTGGTTGGTTGTTGCCCTTCCCGTCTATAGATTGAAGACTGTCCATCCACTTGCTGTCGTAGATGTATAGGTGAAAATACCTACATTCTGATGGCATTTGTTTCTTATAGTAACAAAAAAGTTATAACCATAGTTTAGAGTTTATGTTACATCGATTTCTTCTGCACAGTCGCTTCTGCTTTCTTTTATTAACTATTATTTGACGAACGATACCTACTATACATCTTCATGCCTTGAATTTATAATAACCAAATCGGTGCAATCATCCCCTTATTCTTGTTGGATTTAACTGATTTTTTTGTACAGTTCACGATTTTCTTTCGAATAAAATAACTGTGTCCAGTAACCTTGTACATGGGCCAAACAAAAGAAATTATTGATATTAATTCATTTTATTATATCTCCTTTTAGTGACAAAAGTAATCTGTTATAATTGCTAAGAGTTTTACTCTCAAGTCAGGGATCAAAATTTATATCAATCTTAATACATACATACATATATCATTACCTCAATTTCATATGTCACTCACTACAAGAGATGTTTGGGCCAAAAAGAAAGTCCGACAAGAACAAACAGAGATTAGGAGACATGATCTTATCAACCTGGAAGGGAAAATAGTAGAAATGAAACAAAACACAAAGAGATCGACAAGAGTAATTAACCTCAACAGGACAGGGAAGAGCGAACAAAAGAACAGAAAACGAAAAATAGGAAAGAAACGAAGGACAAGAAATCATAATCTGATCGAGAGGCCACGCAAACATGACAGCACGACAAAGACCAGAACGGTTGTTCTTATCCGAATCAATTTCTTAGTTGATTTTCGCTTCGGTCGCTACCTCCAAATATCACAGGGTCACAATCCATCGTCGACGCTCCGTGCCTGAGTGTTCCTTTAGATTCAAGCTTCCCTGGAAGTAGATCGGTGGCGGTTGGAAATTGGAAATTGTCCATATGATTCTTTGCTCTAATTTGGATTTGTTGTTCTCTTTTGCATGCAAATTTTAGCCAAAGCGTTTCTGAGTTTTTTTGAACCATGAATTGGATGTTGATCGCAATTCATGCAGGTTCTAAGTAGCTGACTAAAAATTTGATTTGAGTAAGTACCCAGAATATTTAGCATATTTATCCAGCTACTGTAATATTTAGTTTATGGCTGAATCTTGATTTAGGTAATCGAAAGTGACAACAACTTTCATGTACATTCACCATAGCACAAGAAGTATGAGCATATTTTTTGAATGATACAGTGGACTTTATTTGGCAATGAATAAACAGACAACAAAATTGCGCGAGTTCGGCGAAGAAAGCGAACTCTTCGCCAATCTCTAGAAGAGTGGTCAACGAGGACCTGGTGATGAAGCACTCCGACCAGCTAAACTCCGTCGTCAGGTACCGGTCACGTCGAGACGTGCCTCAGCCTTTCTACATGTAGCTCCATGCTACCACCGTCACCATGTGCCCTTCATGCTAGTGCGTCACCACGGCCAACACCTCCACCGCTTTCGTCGCTCGCGCATCCACCTCCCCCAGCCCAATCACCATCGTGGTGACTGTTGCCACAGACGACACCAACAATTCATCAACAACATTGTCTTTCGGTAAACCTGGCGGTGGCGGTGAAATAAATGGCAGCAACAGTATTGTGTGCATCAGCTCCACAGCAACAGCAACAGCCTCAACCTACCCACCCAGTCGCGTCATGACTAAAAAAGGAAGGCTACAGCTCCTGATAAACCACATGAAATGGTTGGGAATAATAACAATGAATTCCATGAAATGACCATCCCATGAACAATTATGCAACTGTAGAAGAAACAAGTAGAAAAAAAAAAGAACGAAAGAGCACCCAACGGCTCGAGAAAGGATGAAAATTGTGGGAATCCCCTTCAAAGATATGAACGGTTTTATAGGAATGGAAATGGACAGCTATGTGATGATACCCATTCATATTGTAAGAAGATAAAATAGTGAAGAAGACCCAAGCATAGTGTACGTCCCTTTCATATTGAATACAAGAAGATAAAATAGTGAAGAAGACCCAAGCATAGTGTACGTCCCTTTCATATTGAATACAAGCAGACAAAATAGAGAAGAACTCACCTAGTCGCGTCCTCAGGGGAGAATCTCCTCCTTAGCTACAGTTCGCTTCCGTTCAAAATTATATGTTTCTAATGACCATCTGACATCATCACCCCCCATATCATTCATACATAAAAAAGCCGAAAATATGTTTTCTTTTGAGAACTTTAAAACTCAATATGTTTCTTTACTCATCAACAAAACAGCAAAAAAGGATTTATAGCTATGTCTCCCATTCGCTGTGCTATTTGTATTTTATCTCTATTTTCTATTAGTATTTTATTTCCCTTACTGATCTCAACCAAATCTGTCCTAAAACTAATCAAAATAATCAACTTCACAATAAGACAAGATCCACAATAAGACTTATGTATGGAGGTATTTTGAAATACCTCTTTGTTTTAAGGACGTCCCCCATAATCGAAACCCTTCTTTTTCACAAGTTGATAAACAAGAACTAAGTCATCTCAAAAACATTGGTTACCAAATTTCCAACCAAACAAACTTTTACCCATAAATCAACATTATATACTAATAACCAGTTTGGCCAGAGCAATAGCTTTTGTTAAACTCATATTAGTTCTTATGATGACTTCAATCGCATATAAAATTTATTTTTCTGAAGCTAAATCATTTGTTCAACAAGGGTTATGGAGAGATTTCACTTGTGTTCCTTTTGTTTCCTCTCAAACCTAAACCTACAAACGAGAGGAACTGATTTAGAATAGTTTAAAAACTGGTGTAAAGAGAAAAATAATAGATGCAGCAAAGATCACCTTTCTGTCATCACCATCGTCGCCGATGATGTGGCTCTTCACCGACGAATCCCATCTTTTGTTCCTTTTTTCCCGCAGAAACCTAAGAGCAAAAACCAGAAAGAAGAAACGCCAGAACGTCAAAATAGCTTTGAAACTACTCAAAACACATAAAAATTAGAAGGCAGAGCTTACCCTCGCTGCATTTCTCCCGCCGCCGTTTCGAACTCGTCGACGTCTAACCCAGCCGCCGCCGTTTGAACTCGACCACGGCGTTTCTCTACGTCGTCGCCATTTTAAAAGAACCGCCCCTGCCTGTTTGAGCTAGCCATCTGCGCTTTCTCCTCGCTCATACCCGCTTTAAAATCAAGCAAAAATAAAAGAAGAGGAATGAGAAACCCTAGATCGAACCCAAAATAAGAACCCACAAAAAATCGAGAAATCAGAAGAGAGACATACATCAGACACTCGCTCAAAAATCAAAATCCAACCAAAATTGAGCACTTGAATCGAACAATCAAGACCAAAAATGACCTTAAACCTTCGTCTCCGCCATCATCATCGTGGCCGACGTCAATCGCCGGCAGTTCTCCTTGCCCGCCGTCGCTTGCGTCCTTCTTCCTTTCTCCTCGTCACTACCAAAAAATGAGAGAAGGAGAGAGAGGCGAGAGTGAGAGGAGATTCGCATTTTTGGCAGGTCCTTTGTTCGACTTTCGGATTTGAGAGAGTGAAAGCCGTTTTTGGCAGAGGGAAGGAGACGAGCAGCGGTCTTAGAGGAGTTAGGATTCTGTGTTTCTGTTGGGTTTCTCTGGAGAGGAGAGTGAAGGGGAGAGCGGTGCACGAGATGGAGAGTGAAGGGGAGATTGGAGCTAGGGCTAGGTCAGTTTAGGCTTTGATTTTCGGCCATAAGAGAGAGATGTTTACTCTCGAGGCTAAAGGGACTAAATTACCCCTACCCTTTTCGTCAAATTACGTAGCCTTGCTACCACAGTGTTGTTAATTTATTAAAATGCCCCCACTTTGATCTATGCTAATAAATTAAAAAACTCCATTGGTTTCGAACCCGAGACTTCAGCCTCGTTAATGGCCAAAATCAATCGTTTAACTAGTAGGTTAATCATTAATTACATGTATACGTAGTTACTACTAATGATTTATAAACTTTAAACCCTCGATATGTAAACTTCAATCAAACAAGACAAGTTCTCTAATTTATCTCGCTTAAATATTATTCTAAACAATGTTAAAAATCCCTAATATCAAAGTATTTAACCTTCTTTTGAAAGATGAATGATCACAATTTTACTTTGTTTGGAGACCCTTAATATGAAATACTAGGTGCTATGGTAATTTTCCCGTATCAAATCTCCTTTCAAGCCAATACTTCCAAATCGAAATTTCAAAAGATTAAAACAAACAACAAATTCTTAAAAAAAACTTTATTAATCGAACTACGTGGACTTTCCCGATTAACTCGGGTACGTCGACAACCGATAGGTTCGAGTCCAAACAATCTAAAAAATATTTTTTTTAATTCAATAAACGTGAAAATCTAAAACTTTAAATTAAAAATTTACACTAATCACAACGTCCAATTGGAATTTTAAAATTTACCTTTGAAATAGACCTGGCAATCGGGTCGGGTTGGGTAATTTTGGGTTGAGAACTTCGGTTACGGGTCGGGTCATGTTTGGTTGGCTAATTTTGGGTCAAATATTGACCCAACCCATTTGTTTTCGGGTTGGGTTACTGGGCTCGGGTTATGAGCGTTCTAAAAAACAATATAAAACATGCTTCATATTTTCTTAAAGAACACAAATTTGCACATATGCATGACAATAGTTTACCTAACACATGTCAATTAACATATTCTCAAATCCTCCCACGCTAATGAAATGAAATACAAATTATGCAAATCATCAAAAAACAATCACAAGAGTAATACTACTACAAGAAACACATGATATTTAATTATCCTTAAACTCCAAACATGTCATTCAAATCCTTGTGATTTTTTTTAAACATCTCGCCAAGTTATGAGTGATTTTATCATTTTGTGAGTGATATATAAAATGGAACGGGTCTAACGGGTCGACCCGCTAACCCACCCAACCCGACCCAAAAAAACACGTGTTATCGGGTTCGGGTCATTCGGATTTCGGGTTACAAAAATTTCTATTTTCGGGCGGTTTTGGGTCGGGTTGTAATTTGCCAGGTCTACTTTAAAATAATTAAAAATAGTCGAATGTTACACTTAAATACACAAACAAATCACAATTAATAACACATCCAACTCTTAAATGATTATCGATTTAAGTAGTACCCATCTTGGGGTGTTGTGGGATGTGAATACACTTCCCCACACGTAACCGTACTCCCAAGCCTAGAAAAATCAAAGATTCGCAAACCTAATTTCTGGTTTTAAGCTAAATAATAAAACCAAAATGGGTGTTCGACCCACCCCAAAGCGGGGTCGATGGCGACTCTGAAACAATTCGCAAGCGATCCCCCCGATCCGGAGGTGAGGTTGCGACACCTGGACCTGAACATGTCCACCCAATTCAGGTGCTGGGAAGCGATGTCTGTGGTACACATCCATCCAAAGTGGCAGAGTCCGCTATCCGTGGACAAACTCATCTATAGAGAGATCTGCGTGGAGTTCTACTCCACCTTCATCCATGAGGTGCCCAGCAGCAGACACAACATGCTGTACATGGAGTTCAGTTAGGAGGTCAACATCACTTGATGACCAATGACTGGTTTGCTAAGGTCATGGGCCTCGATACCACCTCCATGACGATAACAAAGCAAGAGTACACTAGAGACTTCCACTACTAGGAGGCGTATAGAGTCCTCTACCTGCCAGAGCATCGGGATCACTAGTTCTGAGCCTCCAACACCAATGCATTGAATTTTCGGACACCATGGAGGATCGTGCATATGCTTCTTACCCGTTCAGTGATCCCTAGTCTGCTGTCAGGGCACATGGTCACCAATAGGGGGTTGATCGCCCTCCACACCTTGAGCCAACCCACAACACCGCTTCATCTGGGATCATTCGTTGCTACCACCTTCTCTAGAGGGTTGGGTCGTGACTGAATGGACACGATGCACTTGGGGGCATCATTACAAGGATTTCCCGATACTTTGGAGTCGGCACAATGGGTTGTGCCATTATTGGTCAGACGGAGCCTTTCCCCATCGAGACCTTGCATAATATGAAGTTAGTCTGGGGAGAGAGGGGCATGGAGTACCTTGAGGGACTCCGCCCTTCAGCTGCACTAAGGCCACATGTTGAGCCTGCACCAGTGGAGCCCGATCCAGCAGAGGTTCCATCTGCTCAGCCACGCCAGCGCCACCGTCGGCACCCTAAACCGCCACCGTCCAGCAGAGGTCCCTCCTGATCCGCATTCCACCTCGAGGACCGAGTCACTCACCTCGAGGAGCAGTTCACAAGGGTCTCCAAACGGTTGGATAGATCCAACACCTTGCTGGAGCGAATGGCTAGACGACAGGGTATATTGTCAGACGACGATGAGTGATCATCTTTGAATTGAGCGAGGTAGTCAACCGAGTGAGACATGTGACAACTGATTTCTTTCGCCCAACCTCTCACTTGAAACTCTGAACCTTGTTATTTTTTTTTTTGCTTTAGTGTCTGAACAAGTACAATTGTGAGTTTTTCTTTTTTTTAATCGTGATGTGGAATATTGTTATGTGTAATAACCTCGCCTCAAGCGAGAATATGCGTGTGTTTGTGTGTTTACTTCTTCACTTTGAAGCTCAAATCTCCTACCCGAAACTTGTCTAATTTTCACTTGCCAATTGTGCGTTTGCTTCTTTACCCTACCCTTTTTCTCCATTGAGGACAATATCATGCTTAAATGTGTGTGTGTGTGTGTGGGGGGGGGGGGGGTGGGTTATAAATTGGAATTAGCATATGATTTGTGTGTGAATGCTTAATCAAAGTGGTCGATTTGTGGGAGGATCTCGTGTTTATTGGCATTGACCTTGAAGTGATTGATTGTGATCAAGTGCATCCTATTATGATGATTGAGAAATGCATTAGGTTTGTGCAAATGTTTAGTTCTCATGTGTGTGCAAATGAATGGATGTCTTGACTTGATTCCTCTTTGATTACAACTGCCATGCATAGAAATTTGTGAAATTGGAATAGATGATTGGGTGATTAGGTAGCCATGTGAGATTTGTGCCTATCGTCTTTTTTCATGTGTGATAAATCTCTCTTACCATGAAGAGTAACATCCATGTTGTCACTAGTGAGTATGATGGAAGCATAGGATTATTCCACGCCCAAAATTTGATTGTCCCGAAACATCTTAGCCCCTAGTCAACCCCTTTGAGCCGTGTGACTTTGGGTCATTCTCATTTTAGGAACTTGTGCTTTTTGAGCTTAATGGCGATTGATAGAAGACCCTTAGTGATGCCAATGGGTCGGGGCGGGGCAGGTCTACCCACTCTTACATGCTATTTGAAAAAAATACAAGTAAAATTTTGCTTTTTATGATAAACCGAAGGGGAAAAGACTTCATGAATGAATAATAGTGATAATATAATGGCAAATTGAGTCTATTTAGTTGAAAAATCATATCTAACTAGTTAAAGAAAAGCCAAAATAGGAGATAAGTGAATGGAAGACCTAAGAAATTGACTTAGAACGGGACGGGGCGGGGTAGAGCGGATTGGAAGTTGATACCCATACCCCGCCCCACGCTACTGCGGGCTGGGTAATACCCGCCCCATTGCGGGTTCGGTTGGGTAATACCCGATGGGGCGGGTTTAAATTGACATCCCTAATGACCCTTTCCTTTCTTCGTGTGTAAACCGTTGTGAGTCATCCTTGTGTCTCAGAGCTCTCACTTTTGAGCTCTATTGAGGTTCTACATAGGTGGATTTTGCATGATTCCTTATAGGAATATAAAGGTAGTGTTGGAGGAAGTTTTTAATAGAGAGCATTGTTCGTTAAGTGCTAAATTGACATGTGTTAGCTCTCTAGTACCCCCATCGGAAAAAAAGAGATAAAAAGAAAAAGAAAAAGGAAAGTAGACAAAAGAATCGAAAAAGAGGTAATAAATAGGATAAATAAAAGATAGAGAGTTGCGACAAATGATGATGTTAATCCTCTAGAAAGGGTTTTTTGGCACTCAAGCCATTGAAACACCTAATTGCTTGTTGATCTCCTTCACTACGATGATTGAAATTTGGATAACAGGAATAGCCGAGGAAGTGTGTTTGAATGTAGTTCTGTGGTTTTTGGCCGATGCTAGTGGTCGTTGATTGTAGGATAGGTTCTAGTCGTAACCATAGAACCCTTTAGTTTAGGTTGAAGATGTAGAACCTCATGTTTGGCTTGCTACCACCCAAAATGCTTTTTCCCTATGTCCAATACCATTGCCAGTCATTTGAACCCGTGTCTAAGACCTCCAGATCGCGACAAGCTAGTAATGGCAACCATCTTGTGAACTCTAGGATTTAGAGGTTGCCGCCGTGGCGAAGAGATGATAGGGCTAAGTGTTGATGATTGTGCACATCTTTTGCAACAAATGGTCCTGAACCCACTGGTCGAGAGTGACTGATTCATTCACATTTTGCATATTCATATCTTTTCCCGATGAGGACCTATGTCGCCCATTCGTTTTTTCATTGGACTTGAACTCTATGCATGGTTAATTATGGTTGGTGAGTAGTTTTGTCAAGACTTGTATTGATTTGTGAAAAGGGTGGGAACTTTTTGTTTGCACTTTCTTAATACATTAGAATGTCGTTTGTGGTGGATGTCGGTATTGCTTGTAACGGTTCATCTGTTGATGCCCAATAGCCATTGAGATTCGCCCGCTTTGAGCCTTGTGATTTGTCCCAAAGTTATCTTGTTAGGTTGAGA